AAAGAGTCAGGAAAGCTCATCTTTGTCCAACTATAACATCCTATCCTTCAATGTAGAGGAGCAAAATTTCTAAAGCAATGTGGACATACCACATACAAGTGTTCACTTTTGAAGGAACTTTATGATGGAAGGTGAGGGTGTGTATTTTCTCTCAGATTGAAAAGTGCAATCAGACTGGAAAACAGTTTTGGGACAAAATGAATGCCATTCCTCTTTCTGCAATCTTCTGAGAGCGCCGCTGCCAATGAACCATACAAGGGCAGGTTAGGCTGCAACAGATCTACCCAAAAATCAGTAATAGCAACAGTGGTGCTACAACCGAATAATTACCTAAAAACACATGGAGTAACCTCCTGGCAGTAGTTAGCGATGGTTTGTGTGCATCCAACACAGGTCTGTGCACATGGGAAAACAGCCATCTGTCCAGAATTAACATCTACATTAGAATAACAGGAATGTGAGTGACCCCTCAATTCTGCAATAGTCATGAAGTCATCCATAATTTTATAAAATAATTTACTCGTGCCACAGCAAAAATATATTTTAAAACAGCATTTCAACAATTATAAAGTCAAATTCAATTCTTTTATTGAGATGAGGCAGCATGCTTGGCACTGTACAAAGATGACCTGCTGACTCAGAAGTAGAGCAAAGGACTGCCTGGGAAGAAATATATTCAAAAGCTGCACATGAAGGGAACAAAAACAAGAAGTTACTTGAGCAGTTCCAGAGGTCCAACATCTCCATTTAGGCTAGAAAATGTGAACACATTTAATCTGTATAAATGAGAAAAAGATTTAAAATGATAAAAAGGTGGCAAGGGGACAGACATTAGAAACAGATCAGAAATCTGCATGGTGTGAAAGGGCTTGGATAAGTTTAGTGGTATTTGTGTAAGAGAACAGAAAATTGTTTTTCAACAAACAGCGCTGGTTACCAAAAATGTCTAATGTTAACAAGAAGCTAGTTTAGCAGATCATCTTTTATGCTATTAGAATAACCTGCCAAGAAAAGGAATGTACTGGCCCATGCTGGTGATATTCACAGTCCATATTCTGAAATGGAAAACTGCTTGGTGATATTGAAAGCATGTAGTTTTTGTTTTCTGTTAAGGAAGGGGATGACTAAATACAGGGAGAGCTCACTTAGCTATTCTTCAGTGCCCCTTCTGGAAAGAAGGGCAAGAAATGTTTTAGAGCACAGATTTCCTGATCCAATAATCCTCAAGCCCCTACAGCAGAGAGGAGCTTAAGTATATGAAAGCCCTTTGGAAACCTCTCAGTAATGCTTCTTGCTTATCTAGAGGGGTTACTATTGAGCAAGGCTCACTCAACAGCATATGACCTGGAAGAAAAAAGGTTTGATCTGGAATTACTCTTCATGGGGGCAATGGAATTTTTACTACTGACTTTGTAAGATAAGCAAAATCAAGAGAATACTAAACGTTTTGAATTGTGAACTACCACAAAGTGTATCAAGACCCTAGGTGAGCAGATTCGTTTCATATGCTGTCTTCTGCTCCCAGTCAGACTGAAGGAAAAAGGTATCTCTAGAAGATAATGTAATCTTTTCTTTACTTAGTTTTATCCTTTCAGAGTGCGACTGTCAGCTGTATTATTCTGAACTCAGGCAGAAGGCAGGGCAGAGCTGCACCCCATAGACCAGCGGTTCCCTACGCAGTGGCTACGGGCGTCATGGTGCCCCTCACGGTTTATTCAGGTGCCCGTGCACATTTTCATGATCAGTAAAAATCATTATTCCAACAAAAAATGCTATCACTGTCAACTAAACTCAGAACAGCAACACTTCAACATTTTTTTCACAGGCTGTACGCAACGGCCACGAAAATGAGACCAAGTCAGTCTGACTGGCGGAGTGGTGCTTACTGCTTCCTCCCCAAATAAAACTATGTGCATGCGCATATCCAGGAGTTTAATATTCATATTGGTGCCTGCTGCTTTCTCTTTTAAATTTGAATGTGCCCTTGGGCACATAAACATCGGGAACCCCTGCTGTAGACTAATTCAGAGATGCATAAGTTTTTGTAAGTAACAGCTCACTTTGTAACCCAAATTGTCAGATGCCATCTGGGTGACAAAGGGAGCTGTTGCTTACAAAGGCTCATGCATCTCTGAATTAGTTAACCCAGGGCTGTCCAACTGGCAGTGCACAGGCCACATGTGGCCCATGAGGGGTTTAAGTACAGCCCACAGGTTCTCAGCTGCCACTTCACTGTTTCAGCTGCTGCAGGGTCTCTGGGCAGGGCAGCACAGTAGAAGGCTGTGAGCTTGCTGCCCATGTAGCAGCAGCAGGGTGACTTGGATGGGGAACTTGTGCTGCTCATGTGGAGTGGGGACGGGGGAATTCACCTTGCATGGTAGTGGCAGCAGGCGGGAGGGGAAAAGGAGGAGTAAATCATCCAAGCTATGGTAGTGGAGGGCTCACTGCCTCCAGGGCATAACAGCAGGAGGTTCACACTGCATATGGCAGGCGTCCTAGGCATCTCATGTGGCCCCCACAGCATGCAGCCTGCTCAGTATGTAGCCCAGGTCCACTGACTTGTGGCATGCAGCCCCAGCTATTTTGAAGTCAGCCCCAAGTTTATCTATAAAGGTGCATTCTGCCCTGACTTCTGTTCAAACTCCCAAGAAAATTTTGAAGAATGAGAATGCTACAGCTTGAAAGTGCACTTCTGAAGAAATTCAGCATGTAATTTTCTCTTACCCTGGGGGCTGTTTCACATGAAGTTTAGTGTTTGTGTCTGTTTTTAAATCACTAAAATACCAATTTACACTCAATATTTCTAAACAATCATGAAAAATACAGATTTTGGTTTTTAGAATACTAGTAAAAAACCACAGCTTTGGCAAGCATTAAAATTAAAAAGTTTCAAGAAAAAATAGTCTTTCTAGCATCAAGGCATCATAACATGAGAGACTATTTTGAGGGTTTTTTATATTTAAAAGAAAGTATTTACTTGATATTGCATGTCTCACAGCCTAAAACATGGGAGTAAGCATCACTCCTATTTTTGACAAAGACCAGTGATGCTTACTCAACCTTAGTCTGCATCTTAGCTTGATGTGAAAAAAAATACTGCTAGTATAATGGTGATTTTACACATTTTCCTTTCCCATAAACTAAGAACTATAGAGCTGCTCTGCTTCCAGCTGCACACACAATGTAGCACTGCCCCCCAAAAAGTCAAACAACTTCCTCTGTCTCTGAAACATGTATTCCTAGCAATTTTGGAGCTCATACATACCTTTTTCCATTGGCTTGTTCATATTTCAATACTGTAGTTAAATTATTCAGACCTCTTGTATTTTACTTGAAATATCATGCCCATTTGTCTTTATCAAATTCCATTGCAATCTTTAAGGCAGTGGTGTTCAGGGACACCGACTGCATATTACAGATAATAGTAACAACTACTCCTCTAGGTGGGGCCACTAACTCACTATTTGTGAGCTTAGAGTCCAACTCTTCAGGAAGAATTAACAGGACACTGCTTGCCCCCACTGCACCACCTGTGTGTGATGCATAGCGTCGCTGCTGTCTGCAAACACCGCATTCCTGCTTCTTCTCTACAACACCCCAAGCCATTGCATATTTTTCCTCCTTGTCCCATGATACCTCAGTGTTTGACACTGGGGTCCACATCATTGTAACAGTGTCTGCTTTGAGGTAACCAGGAAGTAGTTTGTTGACAGTGTTTTTAAACTGTCCAACTTGATAACTGTACAGCAAGGCATTTCCAAATTTCAGAAGGTCGCCCACTGAAGATAGAAAGCCACCACCAGCCCATTTGTAGGAGTTGTTCACATAGGGGGCGTTGACCAGACGTCCTTTTTTGTTGTAAACATAATACCTAGAATTAAAGAAAATATTTATCACCACTCAGATATCAAAGAGAACTCCTTTTAGATTGACTTTTATTTATTACCTGGGCAACAGTGTCTAATTATAATACAGCTCACACTAAAAGAAACTGCAAGACAGAGTCTAAACCTAATGCTAAGAATGGGAATTGCCAGATTAGACACCAGTGTATTTCCGGCAGCAAGGAGTCTACAGTTGTTAAAAAGATGGGTTGGAAAGGGATCCAAAAGACCAAACTTATTCACCCGAAGTGCAAAAACCCACCAATGCAGCAGATGGCTCCAGTCTGGGCAGAAAACTGGAAGTCAGGTAGTAGCTTTCTACACAGCAATACAGAAGCTTGGTTAGGAAAAAAAGGTAAGGGATATGGATTGTAGTTCTATGGATAAATACGTGTGTACACACAGATAGTAAATGAAAAAGTATGGGAAACGCCAAAGTGAATGGAGCCACAGGTCTGACAGTAGCCAAAGACTGTATTTATTTCCAAAACATATTTACCAACAGAAGTGGAAGGCCAACAAACACTGAACTTTGTTAAGAGTGCTATATGTATGGCAAGCTCATTTTAAGGATGCATTTCAGTATCTAAAGCTTAGTTTTACTCCTCTTCAAGGTCTAACATACCCACAAAGCAAATTGCACCAAAAATGCCAGCTCTCTTTTCTGTAACTAATGTACTATGCCTGGATTTAGCAGCAGATAAAGAGTCACAAGGATGGAGGAAGCACCAACCAGAATTGCAGAAGCCTCTAGAACAGACTTTGAGGCCTTAAACAGACATTCATTTCTAGCAGTGGACATTTCTAGGGACTTTTCAGGGTGAGGAAGCAATACAGGGGTTCAAACCTGCAGCTGCCCTCTCTCCCCTGCACTCTGAACATTCCCCAGACCAGGGTGATCTGCATGTGGGGCTGCAGGCATGTGGCTCCACTGGTACTATATGGTGGAAGAGCAAAACTGGCTTCTCCCTGTACAGCATGTTCAAAGCCAGGACCCATGCAGGGACAAGCTGATAGACTTCCCCCAGCACAGACACTGCAGAAGATGGGGAGGGGAGTGGAACAGTGGGACAATGCCTCCTCCCCACAAACCTGCTCTAGACTGGGGTGTTCCTGGTCTCAGGAAGGTTGTGGGGAGGGTAGTAGCAGCTCAAATCCTTCATGGGAAGAGATC